CGCTTCACTCGGCACAAACCTTTCTGGGCAGTAGGCCTGTAGCAACACATCAACGACTGAAACATTTTTCACCCTTATTTTCTATTCCAATGTCGCGTGCGATTCGTTTTTGCGCCTTAAAGCCGTTGACTTTGCTACATTGCACCACGGTTAAAGACATTTACACATTTTGTACTTAAATGGGGAAATCTAATTTGAGACAATTGGGGCGAGTGGGGTGGTCGGGCAGTGCACAGTGATGTCCAAATGGGCAGCAGTGGGAAACGAAGGGACTCTACCATGGCTGCACGCAGCCTCGATGCTGTGTGCTTCCAAGTGTTGCTCAAGCAATGCAGAGGTCTTCCTCCTCCATCTTGTGTTTTCCTCCTTTCTGTGGGAATTGCCTCCCCGACCGGTAACGTTTTGCAGCTTGTGCCGCACAGGGATTGATTGGCATTGTCCACGGCTGACGATCACTCCGGCAGCCCTGTATGTTGACGCCTCCACAGCCTTTTGGCTGAAGCAAAACTTAATGGCATGGTCAAGATTGTTGATGTCATCATGGCCAAAGCCGCACATCGCCATCGCTTCCTAACTTCTACCAGATCCCTGCAGCTGCTGCACGGTAGACACGTGCCCTCCAAGATCTGCCCTGAGAGTTTCCCCATTTCGATTTAAAGCTTTCATAACTGCAGGGATTCATCTACTTGGTTCTTTCGGTAAAGTCACGTAGAAGGGAAATAATAAAATAATAAAAATAAAATACAATTCTCACGACGTTTCGGCCACAACGCAAGCAGCCGTCCTCAGGTGAAGAACAGGTCTGTCGGAAAGACCTGTTCTTCACCTGTCGGAAAGACAGACAGACGCTGTCTTTCCGACAGCCCTGTTCTTCACCTGAGGACGGATGCTTGCGTTGTGGCTGAAACGTCGTGAGAATTGTATTTTATAATGGTTTATTTTTATTATTTTATTATTTCCCTTCTACGTGACTTTACCGAAAGAACCAAGAAGTTTTCCCATTGGTCGCCGGATTCGTGGAGACCACTTCAATGCCTGTCTCGGCAATCGGCCCTCGCCCCTCCTGCACACACATCACACCAGACGCAACCGGTTTTTGCCTGATCATATCTAAACGCTCGCCTGCCATGTTCTCTTCAGGACTTGTGCATTGCTTCTGTCTTTCCACAACACGCATAGCATTCATCTCAAACAGCTGTTCACGAATGGCAACGGCTTACTTTCAAGTGGCTTGGTTAGCATCCGGCTGTCTGATATGTCGACACCTTGCAAAGTATGCGTGTTGCACAACTTCATGATGCAGGAAGCCTCCGTGAATGGCGTATTTCTAAGTCCTAATTTTTCAGTGCTGGTGAGAGGGTCTCGGTGTAAGTGCATAGGCCAGTGCTGTAGGGCTATGTCCTTCACTTATATTCTTAGGTTTTTTCGGTAAAGTCACGTAGGTAAAAACATAAAATTAATAAAAGTAAAATAAAATAAAAATCACGACGTTTCGGAGGCAACGCAAGCTTCCGTTTTCAGGTGGAACCGTCACAGCACGATAGCTGTGTCAAGTGAGAGAAATTCCAAGAAAACACTTAGTTCAGATGCAGCTGTCCTTAAGTGTAGGGCAATACTGTCAGGCGTACTCAATGTCTCTGCAGCAAGTCTTTGGCTTAGGACAAGGTAATCCTCAGAAGATGCTTCTTATAGTGGCACTCCTTGTGTTTCCTGGTTCAGCTAACATTGGAACATGACTATCATTGGGAAGAGCATTTACGAGGATGCGCCTATCTTTAGAGCGGAGTTTACCAGTCAGGGCTGTGTCCGTAGTCAACCCTGCGTTCTCGCACAATCCTTGCACGCCTTTCAGAAACGCACGCCCAAAAACGCGGTGCCTTTCAACCCACTAAAGAGACTGATATTTGACACAAATTGGTAAAGTCGGTGCGTCTTGTCCGAGTGTTAAGTTTTCCCATTGTTAGTGGACATGTGACGTGGCCCAGCATCTAGTGCGGCAAAACATCCCAATTGTAGAAAAATTACCCGCAAATGCCTCCGTTGGAATGTGCACAGTAATCGCCACCTATTACT